TTTTTTTTTTTTTTTTTTTTTTTTTAAATGGAAACGATGAAATTGGTAGGTCCCTGTGAAAAAGCACACAAATGGCCAGCAAGCAAATTGCAAGGGGGTGGGGGGGAGGAGAACAGTTCTGCAAAAAGAGAAAAGGGTGTGAAGTCCTGGCATCCTGAAGCACAGGGGCAGAGGGCTGCCTTTGTGGCACAGCATGGTAGGCCCCTGCCCCTGCCTCCCACCTCTCCCCCCGATTGGCTAAGCATCCCCAGAAGTCCTGACACCCTGATGGAAACTGACGGATATCAATCTCTGGGGAGGGGCAGGACTTCCAGGGCCCCTTGGCCACAGGCATTGGGTCGGGGGGGAGGGGCTGCCACACTTTACTGTGGAAGTGGCACCTGACATCACACCAGAACCACGAAATCTGGAGGCAGGCACCATGGATTAGGTATGTCCTCATTTATAGATGATACTAAGCCTACGCCAGCATATGGATTTCAGTATCACACAAAAGCCCCAACTAATACAATTAAGTTGAAATCCTTGTGATTTTGATATTTATAGGATACACTGACAAAGTGCTACGGTCTTGCTATTTTGTTTAGGGATGACTAAAAAAGCTAATAAGAAAGTAAGTTATCCATTCTTGATTTACAGAACTGCATTCAATTAATAATTTTTAGCTTCTCAAAATTCAGAATGGATTTTAGTTTTATCTTGTAAGTTCTACACAAAGTTAGTAAAAAGGTGCAGCAGAATAAAAGTGATCCATATTTAGATCTAAGAAATTAATCCTGGAACTTACTCTTTTCTTTTTCTACTTCCATAACCTGCTTCTTCCATTCATCAAATGTTGGAATGTCTCCTGGATCCTTTGGGTCAACTTCTCCTGCTTTATAATCTTTCTGCAAAAGCCACACAGGATTTGTTTCCAGATACCAACATTAAAACAGAGAGGAACTGCAGTGCTTTCAAAATGCTACACTAATATTTCAACCAAGTGATTGAGATAAAAAAAATAATATTTCTTAAATATAAAACCCCACAAGTAAAATGGTAGAAACTCTTAGCAGACTACAGATTCAGATGCATTTTACACAAGCACACTGCATTGGGCCTTGTGTAGGCGTGTCCACTACAAACCTTAAAACTAAAAATCTTGCTACAACCTAAAAACTGTAGTAAGTGCATTCCTTACAGTGCTTTATTTAGCCTTTAATTACCAGGACACATTTTAGCTTTGTTAGAAACATGTAAAAAAAACCTCGACTAGATACTCGAAATCGTTTAATTATCAGCTTATTTTTATACCTAAAGTTCCTTTAAAAATGTACCTCTATAAAATCTTTAGAAAACAATGAATGAATGAATGAATGAATGAATGAATATGAACATGCTGTTAAATGCGAAGCAGACGCACAGAAATTCCATTTTGTTACTAGTATTTAAGGTAATTCCTCAACAGTTGCTTTGTAAATGTACCCTGTCTAAATTTAAGCAGAAAAAAAAGCTATGAATTTTCATGCAACCATCTTTTACAGCCAGAACTCTTCAAAAACAAAAGTGGGTCATAAACTGTGTTCCACAGCACTGGTTTTAAAATGACTCCAGTTTACATTTCAACTTCATGTTTCAGTTGTTGAACTTTGAGGTGTGGGGGG